TGGGGGGGGGAGAGAGGGGGTTATTTATTACCCCAGTCATCATGCTGGGATGTTATTTTCATCTCAGCTGGGGTTAGTTCTGACAGGGAGGGTCAAAGCCCGCCTCCTAAATGATCTGAAATGTGTCAGCGGGAGGGGGTGGTGAAACAACATTATACATTAAAGAATGTTTACAAGAGCAGAGCATGCTGCTAGTATCTAGTATGTGTGCATGAATCTCGCTAACCTTTTCCTATTCGTTTAAGTTGTGTATACCTCATGGACGAACGACAACATTGTCATAGTTTCGCATGTTTTTTTGTGAATGACGCATGAGTTAGACTAAATTGTTGTTTAATGTTCCAGTTACAAGCATTTCTCAAAACTTTTGTTAACTCGCTTAGTTGGAGGATTTAGTTAGTGTCAATCACGGCCAAAAAAGACCGATTTCTATCTCTCTGTTATCATTAGAGTAAGCTTCCCTTCATAATCAACATGCTTGTGTATGCATCCATTTTTTTTAAATAAACAATTTAAAGAAATTTTACACAGGGCTAAAATCATATTGTTTGACGACTTTACATTGATTAAAATTTCTAACCAAATATTACATGTACTTTGGTTCATTTCTTGCTTAAGGTGAAGCACATGGGAATATCACATGCGCTAGGTCGATTTCTTTGTGTTTGAACTTAAGGCTGCTGTGCAAACCAGCACTCTGTCTTTGGTGATCATTTGGAGAAAAAAACACCTCCCAAACTCCATAGAGGTATCGGCTTTTCCACCTTAAAGAGGCCATTTCGCACTGAAAACGACTTACCACGTTTAAAAAAAAATCAAACGGATTTTTGGGGGAAAGGAGGTGGGGGTGGGGGTGAGGGTGAAAAGCGAATAGACGCAAGAACGGTGTTTTAGTGCTGGGGAAAAAGCAAGACTGCTAGACGTGATATTCAACAGAGGAATGGTGATAAAACAGGATCTACCAATGGTAGCGCGTCCACCCACCAACGCAAGAAGCGAAAGCCATTATAACAGCGCCTTACAAGCTGCCACTGCGTCCAAGGTTCGGTGTTTCCGGAGGGTCGACAAGTCAAAATTGTCGTTAGTTCCTTTTCCTCTCTGAGCTCACCTTTGTTGTTTTGGAGGTGGGCTATTTCGACCCTGCCTATCAAGACTATCCTCGGCTGTAAGGGGTACAGATCCCGCGCCAGAAAGGCAGCTGTTCTAGAAATTATAACTTCCTAACGCAAGGATCGAACTCATGTCTTTTGTGCACAAACTTTAGAATTTGAACTTACTCCCTCGCCCCCCCCCCCCCCCCTCTCTCTTATCTCCATATCTTTCTTCCCCCCCTCCCTTATACACTCACAGAATCAGGCTCAATCCTCTGTCCGTTGAAAAGAAAACCTGTCGTAAAAATGAAATGATTTCCAGCTTGCAATCTGCAATTTCTCATTTTCTTGTATCTTTTAATGTTAGAGACCCTATTGCTCTGCTTCCCTAACGGGTAAAAGTATAATATGATGTTTGGGGAGCTCTTTTTGACTGTTTACCATACTGTTTGCGATATTTCTTCTTAAGTTTAACAATGAGAAAAATAAGAAGTATCGCTCTGTTGCTCGGATTTGAGAGACTAACAATCGCCTCTGCTCTCTTTCTCTCCAGGGGGTGGCTCGGTCAGGCTCACACAGGCAGGGAAAGTGAAGAGACTCACCGACCTGCTCGGCGACAAGGAAAAGGTATGGAGCAGCTATGTCTGTGTGTCTGTGTGTCTGTGTGTGTGCGTGTGTCTGTTTGTGTGTGCGTGTGTGTGTGTGTGTGTGTGTGTGTGTATGTGTGTGTCTGTGTGTGTGTGTCTGTGTGTGTGTGTGTGTGTGTCTGTCTGTCTGTCTGTCTGAACATAGACACTTGTGTGCTGGCGTGCATCTACATCTGTGTAGGTATTTATGTGTGTATTTGTGTGTTTGCGTTTATACAGTATGTGGTCCACCTGCCCCCCACCCTTCGCTCTCCCAACTCCCAAACCCTACCATTTACTGTTCGATTATTAAGCCAGCTACGTGTAAAGACAGGAGCGTGCTCATAAAGGGCAACAGTAAATGCAAAGTAATACCAAATCATACCAGTTTATTGTAAGCTTACAATTTAGACTTTTGAGTTCTTTACAAACGTATCCTGTCTATTTTAATGTCTATTTATATGTCTAACTGTGTCTCTCAATATAACATTTTGTCATTATCTGGGTGGGTATTATTTTGTCTGTGAGTCCTGTCTCTCTACGTCTTTATCGCGCGCTCTGTCTCTCTTTGAACTAATTTCCCATAACCTTTGCTCTTTGCATTATTGTGTATATTATATCATGTCCGTTTGTATGTGTGTTTGTTTTTGTGTTCGTGCAAGTATGTGCGCGCTCATGTTCGCGTGTGTGTACGTGAGTGTGTATTTGTATGTAAGTGTGTACGCTTGTAAATGAGAGAGAGAGAGAAAGAGAGAGCGAAAGGGAGAGAGAGAGAGAGAGAGAGAGAGAGAAAGAGAGAGAGAGGGAGAGAGAGAGAGAGAGAGAAAGAGAGAGAGAGAAATATAATCAAGCATCCATTTTATTTAGTCCATTTCCACGCCTTCCCCATCACTTACGCTTTATGCTCAAACGTTGTATCGTCTCTCTGTCAACAGCAAGTGATCGACCTTACCAAAATTGGCAGGAAGCGAACTCATTCGCTTGACTCCGACTCCAAGCAGTCGTCACAGTACGAGGCAAGCCCGTCCCACGGTCGTGAACATTATTTCCCAGCGGCCCGCGAGTACGACCACCACGGATACTTAGAGCCTCGCGGAGCCAAAGGAGGCGGGCGCTACCTGGAGCTCGTTAACTACGCCCCTGAACTTCGTGAACTACGTGACCCTTACGGCAACCCTTTGACCTCTCACTCAGGCTCGGCCTTCACCCCCGTGCACATGACCCGCAAGGGGTACCACCCCTCCAGTGTGAGCTACCCGCTCCTTGCCCCGGAAGAAGAAGCGGAGGACGCCCATTGTCGGGACGAGAGAGACGGGGCATACGGCACCGTGGACTACGGCACGGCTGCCTCGGATATATGTGGCGGTTACAGAGTGGATCTCAGTGGCTCGTCCTTGAACTACCCTGGCTCGTCCCGGCTGAACAACTCTGGTCCGTATGGTTTGGTCTCGGTTGAGGAAACGCCGCTGTACTCTCAAGTCAGAGACGCGCGGCGCCATCACTCCAATGACTCGTCCTATCTCCTGTACGGCGACCCCATGTACTCCGGCCATCACCCCGGGGAGGCGGCTGGGGGTTACCCTGTCAGCTACTCCAAGCCAGGCGGAGGCCCACCTCGAAAGTTCTCAGACCAAGATCTCTACGACAGCACGGCTCAGTACCGCAGGCGCCCCACCTCCTTTGGTTCCTCCAGTTCAGATCACCACTATACCTCGCTAGAGTGTAACAACAACAACAGCAACAGTAACAACAACAACAACAATAGTGGTGGGTACGCAGCCTGTAACCCTTACCGCGGCCACAATAGCTACGACGAGCATGGAGCGGTGCGCAGAAAGTCAGGAGGTAGCACCAGCAGCAGACGCAGTTCGGGCAAGAACCATAACTACGCCAAGCCCGGCCTGGGTTATCAGCCCCCGCCCACGTCCGAGCACTCTCTGTCCTCGCAACTCACCAGCAACAATTCCAAAGTGTCGCCGGGGGGCAGAGACGCGTGGGCAAACAGTAACTTAGACGATGTGTTCTTGGACAGTGAGCCGGCCGTGGAGTGCTCTCCTCCCGCTGTGCGAGCCGGAGAGTTTCTGAACTACCAGGGCCAGAGTCACCACAATCCCCGGTCACGGGCTCAAGTGTTCCCGGAAAACTCCACAGCTGTAGTTGGCTATGAAAGTGGTCAGGTTAGTTTAGTGTGACCAGTGGGCAGTAGCTTGAACATGCCTCAGGACTTGGGAGAGATAAGTGCTCAGATTCAGATGTGTTCATTTTTCACCGTGATGGGAGAGAGACAAGGACTAGCTTTCCTCAGATATGGAGTAATGGAGTGTGTGTTGTCTCTAAGCTAGTCTTCTTGGCACACAACAAAACTCTCCAGACTGTGTTTTGGTCTGTCACAAATCAAGACAATCATTGACCTTTCAGTTTTTCATGACTTTGTGTCCCAAGAGTTGATTCTCTCTTGGCTATAGTTTTCATTGTTTTGCATTGATGGTGATTTTTTTATGTTAGATACCCGTTCCACATTGGCAATCAAACCTGTTTACTTCGCTGTCTACTGATATGATTTGAATAAATATCACTAACATGTTTTATGGTGTGAAAAATTGTAGATTAAAAATGTATATCACTTAACAGTGAATTATTATGTCCTGCGGCGTGTCAGATCTTATCGATCTTGTGAATATTGTTATTGTAAATTACTGGGGGTTTTTGTCTTACCGCTTAATGTGAACCTATTGTGTAAATCAATATTATTATACTGGCGTATGTCTCCATGAATCCATGCTGCTTCAGAGAATCTCTTACAACGTCTTCATTTTGCCAATGACGTAAAGGGGCTTCCTCCCACCATTACAGTCGGTGCATAATTGTATGACAAAATAATATGAAAATTACACATAAATAAGCTTAGAAGGTAGCACTGGTGATGTTTCACTGTGCGAGCTTGTATTTTGTCTTTCTCTGTCCCAACATCGTTTTTTTCTCTTAGAAAGGCATAATAGTGTACCTAATTGGTATCTTATATTTCGAATGTAAATGATGAAATGAGATTGAAATGCATAATTCCTTGCAATATGTCATTGTTACTTTTGCTCCTTGCGCAATAAACCATTCGGTTTCATTTGTTCTTTGGTTGTCAGTAACAGTTCTTGACATTTTAAGATCTAACAGTTACTTTATAGAGCAGGAAGCGAAAAGATCTTGTAATATCATACCACGATGCTACTTCTCCGCCATGCTCCGCCAGACACCACTTTATTTTTACTTCTGGAAAAAGGAGTATGTGTGTGTGTGGAAGGGGGGGGGGAGGGTTAATCTTGATAATTTTTATGGTTTGCTGGCTCAGACAAAACTCTCTCGATGCTGCAACTGAAGGTCTAAACACAGAACTGTTGTACGCGTTATTTGTTCTGGTTTATATTCGCGCTAAAAAAAGAACAACAGTTTTTTAACAAACAAATTAAAGTTATTCTAATGTGAACCTGTCTCACGGAAATGGGTGTCCAAAAATGGCGAAGTTATAACAAAGAGCCGTGATTGTGCGTCATGCCTCAACTCTTGTCGTCAACCTTACATATAATGTTTATTAACAATAATCTTAAGTTTATGGTTATCGCAAGAAGGACAAGGAACTACAGAATTGACATCAAGCACTTTTCCCCAATGCTGATACTTTTCCTGACCAATATGAGCTTGGCATACTTTTTCGCCTTAAATACGTGGATAAAACTTACATTTCAATCTGTGTTCTTCCTCATTATTGCTGGAGCGCCTTGGTTCTTTGCACACACACACACACACACACACACACACACACACACACACACACACACACAACACACACACACACACACACACACACAACACACACACACACTCTCTCTCACACACACACAAACAAACAAACAAACAAATACACACTACTGTATAACGAATGAAGGCAAAGATCCCTTTTTTATGGTTCACCAGTTTTTGGAGTTTTTTTCTCTTTTCTTTGTTTTGTTCGTCATGCAGACGCCAATGTTTCCCATTCCCGTACCTCTGCTCAGTGGTGCCACTCTAGCTCAACGGCCCCTTGCTCCTTACAAATTCCAGTGAAGCTCAAAACTTTTATTTCCTTTCACAAGCTTCACCTTCATCAATCCACTAGAGTGAGAACTTACTGAAAACTGCTATAGAGCTACATCATGGCCTATTTTTTGCAATACGCGGAGGAAATTTTAATTCTCTGTCGCTAGCTTTTTTATGGAAGTGTCAAGAAACTTGAGGTACAAGAGCCTTGGTTAAATAATTGTGAACTCTTTGGTTTCGACCTCTAGAGTTGTCTGTACAACTATACGTTCTTACTTTAATATGTTATTTAAACATTGCAGAGAAGAAATGTGTTTTTACCTACCAGCCATATACAATCACTATAGCGTGTTCACTTGAACCTGTCCGCGTTAAAAGCAAATAGTAGCTTGCCAATAAGCATAAAGCCGTGTGTTTCACGCGTGTAGACCAAGGACCTAACAACTTTTTAAAAAAAAGAAAGAAAACTTGATCCAATAATACACATCGTTCTTTTGGGTGCATTCACAGGATCATTAGAAAAAATAGTTTACAGAAACCTAGCGTACAAATTTTTGCTCATTTTGAGACACTGACACCACCTTGCCCCCCTCATCCACATTTCAACGAAATCACTACCCCCCCACCCACGTTTGTCTAGAAAAGTACGCACCCGTTTGTTAGCCCGTATTTCTTTGGCATGTGTTGATGTCAACTTTTATGTTTTTGATATGTATACTGTAAATCACCTGTTATTTTTTACACGTTTTGACAACTATCAAAGAAAACGTATTTTGCAGCAGCTCTTATAATCTGTTGATCATCCAACTTTTAGAGACGCATGCAAAGACCTAAGAAGATTAAATAGGGGGATTTCGCGGACAGACGAAAGTGAACAAGTTATAGCGAGGCTTTTACAGTGAAAAAAGTTAAAAGACTGTCTGATGTTAGTCATAGCACATGTAGATTTGATCACCTTTTTCCACCTGTCTCCACCAAACTTTTATATATCATCAACATATTAATATACTGTGAGAATTTGATATCGATAATATGTCAAAAGACTTAGTATGTCTTTGTATACCTCATGTCTTGTGGAAGAAGATTGGTAGATTTGTCCAGGCACTTGCGAGCTCATATAGTCATGGCATTTTTTAATATTCGAATGTTATCATTGGTTGATTTTCACTCATTTGGTCTCCTTTTTCTTTACATACAATATAATTCACATTCCACATTTCATCTTATGAGGCTCAAAAATCTTGTTTCAAGCATATAAGGCCATCATTTTGTAAAGGGTGGGTGTCATGTTTGGGAATATTCAGTTTGTTTAAAGTGTTAATACCATTTCCCCGAGAGCAGATGCCTGAATACATTCGGCAATAAAGGTAAACGTGGGACCCCCACTCTCCCTTCCCCATTTCGAACTTATTTAACCTTGTACTTACATCTGGGGTCTCCACTCTCTTTCGGGTTATGTTTTGGTCGCTGTGAAGTCATTTGCGAAAGACAATTTCAAGAATGGGAAATCCAAATTAACTTTTACCAGTTCAGTGAAGTAACACATTGGTTCCGTGAAAGAAAGTGTTACCTCTGAGTTATAAACCTTCTTCGGGGTTGCTGAAGTTTATGCCATGTTTATCCGGTACCACCAAAAAAAAAAAAAAAGACGACCTTCGTCAAACAATTTCCCCCCCGCCAAAAAAAACAAAAACAAACAAAAAACAACTTTAAGAAAACTGATCTTGAAAGTGGAGCGATGATCAATGATCTACATAATATGACAGCAGGTCCAAAGCGTGAGGAGCCAATTAAAATTTTTTGACAAAGCGTCAGTCAAAGAGTGACCACGCCTGGCAGCCAGAGGCAAGTAATTTTGACAGTAGGTTGATAAAATTGATAAAATAAAGTGGCCGCGGTCGCGTTGGACAGGTGACCATTTTACTCAGTTAAATTGTATCGAAAAAAAAAACAACCTCAAGGGGAGGAATGGAAAGTGGCCATTTAATAGGGCTGGGCCACGAGCGCGAGAACGGAACTGAATCGTCACTCTTTCCTGCGGAACGCGATTCACGATTCACTTCAGCGGAACGCGGAACAGTATCGCCAAACGATTCCCGA